TCACAAGTAAAATGTTAGTTTCATATCTTTACATTGAGTTTAATTCATCTTAAAAGGATATTGTCATAATATTCTTTGCATAATAAATGAAATTATTATATTGTGAATCCATAAAAACATATTGAAAGTACTAAATGAGCATATTAATCTCAAATGCATATATAGTTTATGAACCAATTACAAATTTTAAATAATTTTCTTGTATTTCTGAGTTTTGCAAAATTAAAATAAAAAAAAATTGTAGAAAGTGAAATACTAAGCCATTTATTTAGTAAGTAGAAAAAAGCAAAACCATGGAGAATGCTAAAAGTTTTACACATATGTCTCTTGAGAGTGCTTTTCGTGATTTACAGGTATTCACAAGATTATTCTATTGTACCATCATTTTGCTAGCCTCCAGGCACTAGAGAATACTTTTGCAATGCTGTAGATGGATAATGAAGTAACTGAAATGGTCACTAATATACAAATCGATATTATTTCTGAGTACTGTATATGACAATTCAGAAGGCACAGAATGTGGTAAACACCTAACAGAGAAAAATCTTCACAAAATCCAGTTGATATTCAAGCACTATTTTTCATCTTTTCCTCACTTCAGTCCTGGTGTTACAAGGATGCAGGGATGTGGATAAGACCTAGTCCTGGTTCTTTCTCACAGCACACTAAAAGATTCCTTACCTTATTCTCATTTGATCAATAACTTCTCAAATGTCCATTGACTTGTCATGACTGACTCAGAAACAAGTGATTGGACAAGTAATTACTAGTGATGGAAAGCATAAACACATTGGATCCCAAGCTGAAAATCACTCTAATAATGTTGGGCTCAACAGTACATAAGAGAACACAAGACCTGTTTTCACAGGAGAATTGGGACACAAAGTATTGGCCATATTATATCCCTGCTCCTTAGTAAGATATAACTTTGGTAGCTTTCTTGTTGTATTTTTATGGCTTATATGCAAAGGCCAAAGTGAAAAAAAGAAATGAAAGATAAAACTACTGAGAAGAAACAGAAAAGGGTTTCTTAGTGAAATGAAAAGTATTAAAAACAATGAGTAAAATAGAATAAACACACAGTATTGATGTCATGTCCACGGGACTGCTGAAAGCATCTGAGAATCCAGTTAATTATTGGATTAATGAAGGTCTTCTACACAGACTGTTTTGAAGAACTAGATTTTCAAAAATTCCAAATAAAATATAAGATCATGAACAAATCAAAGAAAAACTAAATTTTCAGATTCAATTCTTAAATAAATCTAAACGTCAACATTAGTAAACTCTATGGAACAGTTGACTTTAATTTCTTTACTAAAGAAAATATAAACAGAATTAAAAAAATAATCAGTGCGAGTCAGTGAAGACAGAGAAATTTAAAAAAAAGAGATTCAAAAGTGGAAATTATACTAACTGAACTAAAAAGATCACTAAAATAGAAGAACAGATCATATTATCAGAGAAAGAAATGTGCAAATTTGAAGGTAGGTCACTTAAAATTAGTATCAGTGAAGAAAAAAAGAATTAAAAACCTGAATAATATTTATACAACATTGTCAGGTGGATAAATGTACATGCATTATTGATATCTTGCAAAAAATATTATAAAGACAAAGTGGTAGCAACATATGTAAAGAAACAGTAATAGAAGCTATTCAGTATCAAAGGACATAATTGTGAATGTAGTGGGAAAAAAGTCAAATAGGACACCTAATAAACACTGAGATAATAAACTCTGAAAGCTGCAAAACTGAGATGCACTTTAATCAAACTGTCAACATTGAAGAACAGCCAGGGAATATGGAAGTGAGCAAGATGGAAACAATTCAATATATGTTAAAGATATTTTACAAGGATGTGAAACATTTTGCAATAGAAATTGCTGAAAGTAAGAAAGTGCTTCACTTAAAGGGATAAAAGTAGAAAAAAGAGCTATCATCAAAACTGCTGTTTCCTCACAGTGTAGCCTCAAACAAACAAAAATGGAGAATTTTTCTGTTAACCACAACCTCATTTTTTGTTATTATGCATTGAAACAGGGTAACAGTGTTTGCATATATTTTGAGGGAAAAAAAGACACAGGACCATTAGGTCAGGCTTTTTTTGGTGATGGTGTTTTACACCATACTAGTCTTGTAATCTGGCTGAGAGGCTATTTCTACCACAGACTTTTCCCTTATTAAGCACTAATAAGGGCAGGAAAGGATGAAAGAGATGAAGAGAGAAAGAAAATATTAAGGAGACAAGGGGAAGAAGAAGAAGAAGAGGAGGAGGAGAAGAAAGGGATAGGGTAGGGAAACAAAGGTAGAAGAGATAGAGGTGAAAGATATTCCTTGATATTCCTTACACACACACACACACACACACACACACACGCACACACACAAACACATACACACACACACAAACACACACACACAAAGAGAGAGAGAGAAACAGAGACAGAGAGACACAGAGACAGAGAAACACAGAGACACACAGAGAGAAAGAGAGACAGAGAGAAACAAAGAGAGAGAGATGGAGAGAAACACACACAAATAAAAGCTGAAAGAAATCTGAAACAAGACACACAGAGAATGACTTAAAGCTACATGAAAGTAAAAGATCCTTTAGTACTTCAAATCCTGTAGTATTTGACGTCATAGTTCTTGTTATACTTTAATTTAAAACTGAGAGCATAACAATGTATATTTTATATTACAAAGAAGATAGGGCATAAATATGGTTTGTTACTTCAGTAAAATAAGAGGAGTGCAGAGCTGTGAACAGAGTTTTGGTGTGACATCAAAGAAAAACTGTTATCACTTTAAAGCAGATTATCATAACATTAATATATTTTATGCAATCTCTGATATTCCCACAGGGATACTATTTATACAATATACATCAAAAAGAAAAAAGAGGAGCCAAACCCAATCACTATAAAAATCAACTACAAAGGAAGACTGTAGAAAAGAATATGACAAAACTATTCTAACATTCACAAATCAATTGACAAGTCAGCAATTGTAGATTCTTATGTATATTTAGCCTCACTATAAATTTATCAAATTCTGTTATTGTCTAAATGCTGTCCGCACAAAAAGCTTCACTGTTACCTAATTGCAGAATGATGGTTCTGGAGAAAAGGCCTTTGCAAGGAGTTTGATAGTGTAAGCAGAGTTTGGGGGCAGTAGAATTCATGGTTTTAGAAATAACACAAAACCCAGCAGTTACCTGTTCATGAACCAGGCTGTAACTTGGAGCAAGACAGTGAATTCTAACCAGAAGCTCAGTCTGCTCCTTATCTTGTCTTCTATTCACAGAATAATGAACATGTATTTTGCTTTGAATTAGCATTGGCACACTCTTCAATAACTATATTGTGTCTTCAAAAACATTGGGAATCTACATGCCAAACGATGGCAGTCCATCATTGTTGTTCACCTCACAGCAAAATCAATTCAAAATGAATGAACGGCTTACATAAGTAGTTTAGCTACAAAACTCCTAGCAGGAGCAGACAGGGTTTTTGTGGAAATGACTGTGGAAGAAAATTGTTCTCTTAGCCTAGCAGTTGCTCTAATTTACTTCCTTGCCCCTGTGACAAAACACTGACCAAACAAAAACGTGGGGAGGAAACGATTTACTTGACCTTACACTGCCAGGTCACAGTCCATCATTAAATTTAGTCAAGGAAGAAAACCAAGCAGAAACTGAAGCAGAGACAATTTAAGAATGCTCCTTACTGTCTTGCTCTGTGATTCATGCTTGGACACCTTTCATACACAGTCATGCCAAGTAACGGCACCACCTACAGTGGGATTGTTAGGACTGGCTCAGCAGTTCCTCTAAGGATTAGCTGTTGGGGTTGGGCCATTTCAAAGCTCTAGACCTGGGCCAAGTAGCTGGTCAACCCTCCCACACACTTGCCCTTATGCCCTCAGGGTGAGCTCATCTCCAACACCTGCATCTAGGGTCAGCCCTCCTGTGTGATGCAGCAGGTGAAGGGAACCGCTAGTTTTCCTGCTCTCATGATTCAAATGAGAGCTCTTCCCCCTGCCATAGATGACAAGGCACAAGCTTGGACCAGGGCATCTTTCTCTTGCCCACGCTGTCACACAGCTTACAAGTTGGAGGGCCAGCTCTCCCACACTCACATACTAGAACCAGCTCACTTACAAAATCCACATTCAGGGTCAGCTGTACTGTGCTGCCCAGGATAGATGCAAGGCCAGCTCTCCTACTCTCATGACTCCAGGGACAGGTCTTGCCACAGGTGGTAAAAGGTGAGTGGGGAGGAAAATATCTTTTCCTCATCCATGACAGGGCATGCTTTCTCATGCTCATATCCTCAGGACTTGCACAACTGCAGCTCTTGCAATGTGCAGATCTGCTTTCATGAGTACTGCAGCTGGTCAAGGCCAGGGTCAGCTCTCCTTCTCTCATGCCCCCAGAGCTACCTCTCCTACAATGCCTAGGTGAGCAGTGGAGCTTGTTCTGCTCAGTCCTCAGACTTCAACATGTCCCAGGTTAGTAGTCCTTACCAACGATGTTCTACTGGCCTTTGGTGGTAAGAAACTTTGCTGCTGCAGAACCATGGACCCAGTCTTGGCCCTCAGTGGCAGTACAGGCCAGGACACCACCATGTTCCCTAGTGGTATCACTGGCTACTCACATCAGTCTATTCCTCACTACTCTCAATTTTTCATTTCTGCCTCTCTTCATTGTGCCTATATTATATCCCTCTGTTTCCATTTCCATTCCAATTACCCACCACATAGTTGTTCATCTTAGTAGCAACTGGGGTCTCTTGAGTGTCTGCAATTTTTTCAGGAGCAGTCTTAGGAGGGCTATGAACTACTCATTCATTCTAGCCCTAATCAGGAGTCATCTGAGGCATGGTCTACCCCTCCTCAGGCCTGCTAGTGCTGAACTGTAGGTCCTTAGGCTAGTTTCTTGTCCAAGTCCCCTGGTCCAGGACTGATGGTTGTCTCAAGCTGAGCTTTTGTTCAGGAAATGTTAAGGTACTATTCATTCAGACATTCTCAGGCCAGAACATTGATCATAGACATAGCCTCTCTTCTCTCTGCCACCTACTAATGCACATGTGACACAACAGCCACATCTGTAATTCATCTAGGGGCAGGATTCTGACATTACTTAAATGCTAGATGTAAAAGCTAACACTTGAAGTTTTGATCCATAGTATCAGTAGAAAAGACACATTCTTAAGAAGCTAGGGCCAAAAAAACCCAATTACCACTGAAAACAATTGTTAAAATAATCCTCATCTTTACTTATCAATTTCATATTAATTTAGATAAATTTGCACATTTTATCTTTCTGCTCAAACTAAAAAAGCATTTATATTAATTCATATGCTTTTCTACTATTAATGTGTTTTAAATATTCATGTTTTTATTTTATATTTATATATTACTTATTAACTTTACATCTTGTTCACTGCACCCATCCTGTTCACCCCCTCCCACAATCCTTTCTCTATCCTCCTCCCCCTTCTCCCTTGAGCTAGTAGGGTCCTTCCTGGGGATCCCCCTACCCTGGCAGTTTAAGTCTCTGTTAGGCCAAGGGCTTTCCTCTTCCACTGAGTCCAGACAAGGCAGTCCAGATAGAAGAACATATCCCATAGCAGGCAACAACTTTTGGGATAGCCCCTAGTCTAGTTGTTCAGGACACACATGAAGACCAACCTGTACATCTGCTACACATGTATAGGGAAGCCTAGGTCCAGCCCAACTATATTCTTCAGTTGAGGGACAACTAGGTTGTTTCCTGTCTCTGGGTAATATGAATAAAGCTACCATCTTTTGGGTATATGCCCATGAGTAGTATAGCTAAGTCTTAAAATAGAACTAGTCCCGTTTTCTAATCAACCACTAAATTGATTTCCAAAATGGCTTTAGAAGATTGTATTCCCACTAGCAATGGAGGACTTTTTGCCTTGCTCCACATCCTTGCTAGTGTGGGATGTTAAACCATGCTAGAAATCATGGTGAGTAGAGCAGGTCTGAGACTACAGAAACTCTGAGAGTACACACATCTAAGATTGTAGGAGGCTCTCTGCTCCCTGCAAAATTCCTGGACTGGAATATGTGCTACACTTCCCACATAAGGAAAAATGACCTGTGCTCACATAGGTCCAGAAATGAGTTCTCCATGCTAATGAGATACCTGCAGGCCCTGAAGGTTCTTCTAATAAGTTTCTCTTCCAGACATTCCACTCTGAAAAATATATTTAATCTCAGGTCAACCCTGAGATTAAACACATCCAGTTTCTATGATGAACAACTAATAAACAGTTTAGAATCAAGGACTGTCACTTTCATCGAAGAAACTTCATAGGGAGCATGAAGCAGGCCTTTGCCTACAGAGCCACTGCTTAAATCTCCTTAAAAGACCCATTTGTGCTCCAGACAACTGGAGCTATCTTTGCCAATGGGCTAAGCCAGAGCTCACAGTCCCGCCCTGGGATAGATGATGCCTGGGAATTAGGGAATGCCAGCTAGAGATTTCTCATATCTCAGACTGTGATTTCCCTCCCCCAGAGTAGTGCCTGAGTGCTTTCCAGAAGGCCAGGACCAGCCCAGCAGCAGTGTGGGATAAGCACAGTAACACTCTCCCTATTTGGTCTCTGAAGTGGCTATGCCTTGTAGCAGAGCTGAATATAGACCTACATGCCAGCATGTACTACCATATGAGTTCTTGATCTTATCAATTCTGATGGATGTAAGATGGAACCTCAGAATTGTTTTGATTTGCATTTCTCTGATAACTAAGGACTTTGAACAATTTTTTAAGTGTTTCTCAGCCATTCCAGATTCCTCTGCTGAGATTTCTGTTTAGCTCTGTACACACTTTTTCAATTGAGTTATTTGGATTGTTGGTGTTTAACTTCTTGAATTCATAATAATTTTTGGATATTAGCCTTAAATCAGGTGTAGGGGTGATGATGATCCTTTTCTAATCTGTAGGCTGTTGTTTTGCCCACTGACAGTGTCCTTTGCCTTACAAAAGCTTTTCAGTTTCATGAGGTCCAATTTATCAATTATTAATCTTAGAGTCTGAGCCATTGATGTTCTGTTCAGGTTGTTGTCTTCTGTACAAGTGCTTTCAAGGGAATTTCCCACTTTCTGTTCTGTGAGATTTTATGTATCCTGTTTTATGTTGAGGTCCTTAATCCATTTGGACTTCAGTTTTGTGCATGGTGATGATTATGGATATATTTTCACTCTTCTATATGTAGACATTCAATTAGACCAAAACCATTTGTTGAAGATAATTTCTTATTTCTATTGTATGTTTTTTTCTTCTATATCAGATTCAACAGACTAAAGGTGTGTGTGTGTGTGTGTGTGTGTATGTGTGTGTGTGTGTGTGTCTGGTGTGTGTGTGTGTGTTCTTTCTGGGTCTTCAATTCAAATCTATTCATCATTATGTCTGTTTCAGTATGAATAGCATGTAGTTTTTAATCACTCTATAGTACAGCTTAAAGTCCTGAAGTTCTTTATTCATGATTGTATTGGCTATCCTGAGTTTTTTTTTGTTTTTCCATATGAAGTTGAGAATTGCTCTTTAATGGTATATCAAAAATTGTGTGGGAACTTTGATTGTGATTGTTTTGTATCTGTAGACTGCCTTTGGTAAAATGACCATTTTCCCTGTATTTATCCTACCTATACAGGAACATGGAAGATCTTTCCATCTTCAATTTCTTTTTTCAAGAACTTGAAGTTATCATCATACAGATCTTTTACTTGCTTTGTTAGAGTTGCACCAAGATATTTTATATTGTTCATGGCTAGTGTAAAGGGTGTTGTTTCCATAATTTCTTTCTAGGCTGGCTTATCATTCATATAAAGGAGGGCTTCTGATTTTTTTTTTTTAGTTAATTTTGTATCCAGACACTTCGCTGAATTTGTTTGTCAGCTGTAAGAATTCTCTGGAAGAATGTTTAGGTTCACTTACCTATACTATTGTATCATCCACAAATAGCAATATTTTGACTTCTTCTAATTTTATACCCTTAATCTCCTTTTATTGTCCTATTGCTCTGGCTAGAACTTCATCTACTATATTTAATAGATAGGGATAGAGTGGGCAGCCTTTACCTGTCTCTGATTTTAGTGTACAGGAAATTTCTTTAAGTTTCTCTCCATTGAGCTCGATGTTGGCTATTGGCTTGCTGAATATTGCTTTGATTATGTTTATGCATGTACCTTGTATCACTTACATCCATAATACTTTAAACATGAGGGGTGTTGGATTATTTCAAAGGCTTTTCTAGCATCAAATTAGATGATCATAGGATTCTTCCTATTAGTTTATTTATATGGTCGATTATGTTGATGGATTTTTTATATTTTGAATATATTTTTATATATCGAATCATTTCTTCATCTTGTACCTGCTGAGGCTTACTTTGTGAGTGACTATATGGTCAATTTTGGAGAAAGACCCATGAAATATTGAGAAAAATGTGTTTTCTTTTGTGTTGTAGTAAAATATTATATAAATATCTGTTTGGTCCACTTCATTCATAATGTCTGTTAATTTTATTACTTTTTAGTTTTTGTCTGGATGGCTTGTGAATTGGGGAGAGTGTGGGGTTGAATTCTCTCACTATTAATGTGTAGGGATAGATATGTGATTTAAGTAAATTTTACAAATTTACAAATGAGGGTACCCTTGTGTTTGAGGCACAGGTGTTCAGAATTGAGATATCATTTTGATAGATTTTTCCTTTGATGAGTTTGAAGTGTCTTTCCCTCTTTCCTTTAATTTCTTTCAGTTGAAAGTATATTTTATTAAAGTGCTATATATGAAAGTAGTGTAGGCATTGCAGTTAATTTCAGTTTTTGCCTGAAGTCATTATATGGGTCTTTCCAGTAAGAACTGACTCCTATTAGCAGATGAACACACAGTCTTCAGTAACATGCTTCAGCCACTCACAAATGTGAAACTCTTCTTCCAAGCAATCCAGACATCAGCTTTTTCTTTCAACATCATTAGAAGTGCTGAAGTGGACAAGAATATTTTTGTCCTGGTGCTCCTTCCTTGTCAACCTGCTCAAAGCAAGACATACCCGTCTCATTGAATTTGATCATGAGTTGTGTCCAGAGAGAAGCACAGGAAGTACCCTAGGGTACTGCTGTCTCAGTTAGTACTGAAATATGGTGTCAACTGAAAAATATTTTAAATAATAAGCAAATATAAGAGAAGTGGCAGTGCTAGGGCCACAGGAATGATGACTACATGACTGACTTGCAATCAGAAATTTTCTTTATTTGAACAAATTCAAAAATATTTATAATTTCAAGAGATACAGAACATGTCATTTTTGGCCCATGCATTCTTTTCTAGTATGCTCATGGGTACACAAATAGAAAGATTTTATTATCATTAAAATCAGATCCTTATTCCTAAAAATTCTACAAATTATTTTACCTTAAGCAAGGAATTAAACAAGCATGTTACCACCTGTTCTCAGGCTGGTAGCACATTGTGGTTTTAAGATATTTAGATACAGAATAGATAGAATCCAAGTCAGTCCAAGCTAATCATTCTGTTTTAAGATATATATCCACATACATACACACACACACACACACACACATATTACTTCGATATGATCAGTCATATTACTTACATATTTGCTTAAGCCTTGGGATTGGGAATCATTGCAACTGTTATTTATAATCTTGTAAGAATTTGTTCAATAAAGGAATTGTTTTGTTTCTATACTAATTAACATTGCAACAACTTGATATAAACCAATCTTTCCAATAATGATAAATCCAAATACCTTATTCTTCTAACATTTTTATAACACTTATACCTGCTATATTATATTACTCTGTCTAGATTTTGTTTCTGAGTTCTTACTATGGGTTTAGTATGTATGATCTTTTATCTTATAGATTATAATTCTAAGGAACTCTACTTACAATGTAAATGAAGTTCTCTGTTCTGATCAGTGTCACTTCTCCTGGTCTACTGAACCTTTCAACCTCCTCTGAGTTCAAACTATTCTAATTATTTTGTTTCATGAATCTTAGTGACAGATAGCAATCTTCAAGGCACAGAAGAGACTTCCATGTAGGGTCGACTATGGTTACTTCCTTGAGAG